GCTTAACCATCTGAGCCACCCAGGTGCCCTAAAGTAAACATTTTTAATCTAGTAATTTGGAGAGGAAGTTAATCCAGATGCGTATGTGTTTTTCTGTTTTCCTTCGTCATTGCCAGTACCCTGTTTACAGTGATCATATATCTATTCTTATGTTTGAACCCATTTTTATTTATCAGCTATTCCCAACCTTGTAGAGTAAACAGTATGAAAAAGGAAAGAATTTAAATTAAAGTCATACATTTATCACATGCCATTTATTTCTGTAGGATGGAATATATACACAGTATACATTCATATACACATTGTGTAAACCAAAAATACAAATAGTAGAGTAAAATAATGCAGCCAGCAAAAGATATATTTCTGAGAAATAAAAGACTATCATAACACATCAGTAATTGCTGTCTTGTTTTGTTGTTTTATTTTTCTTAGTTTGGTAACTATCACATTGGTACTTTTCCCTATTCTCTTCAGATACTGGATTGGTCATCATTTTTTTTATCATTTGTAGAATGTGTTCAGAGAAAATAAGGTTATTTCTATATGTTATTTATCAAGAGCATGTTATAGGAAAAAAGAAGTCTAGTACCCCTCGACCTTTTATTGTAAAACATATATTTATTTCGGCTATACCGATATTTTATGAAATTCAACCAAATTCCTTTATTTCCCCCTCAGTCGCTACTGAATGTCATAACTATCCAAACCTACCTATCTTTCTTAATAACTAACATCTAACTGTGCGCATAGCTTTTATTTCTCCTTATTTTTTAATCTTCTGTTAAAAAAATAAGGAAGTGAAATTAAGCATCTCAAACTACTGCTTTCAGATTGCATTAGAGATGCGTTTCAGTTCATTAAATCAACAAAACATGGAAATAACGTTGAAAATTCATCTGTAAACGACCTGATGCCTCAGGGTCTATGAACAGTAGATGGCTTTACACAATAGAATGAATAATGTGCTCACTCTCAGCCCTAATTCTCTCTTTTCATGGATATGTAACTTTAATTGTAATAGTCTCCATCATTGCTAAGGGGAGTTTGGTTTAATATTTTATTGTATTGTAATTTAGTGGCACTTCCGGTTTTCATTTGGCTTATAATTACAATGAACTAAACATGCGTTGGCCTCTGCCTATTAAAATGTTCTTCTCAAGAAAGGGTGCTGCTGATCATATGACTTGAAGTTAATATGAATGAGTAATCCAATCAAATTGCTTCTCACTTGGCTGCATTGATGAATATTATTTAATATGCATCAGTTAGCATTTTTAAATATGTTGATTCCACTATATGTGGCTTCACCTGTCTGTAGCCAAAAGACATGTTGTGTAGGTTTGTTTGAAGTTTCTTACAGTACAAAAAGAAGTTCCAGCTTTGTGTATCTGGAATTTCTAAAAACCAGAATAATGAAAGTCAAGCATAGGGCCAAGATTTCCCTTGCTGTTATGGATTAAATATTTTGTGCCACTGTGATACAACATCTCTGTAAGACAGCCAGAAAACTGGGGAGCTCTGAGATGTACTGTGTCTAATTAGCACATTCAGTTATCACTGGTACCTGCAGATATTGTCCCTCCAAAACGAAAAAATGAAAACTGCCTCTGCTACCACCAAAAAACGTAGAAGTTTCTGGAGGGGTCACTTTATCCAGAATCAGCAAGTAAACATCTAGTGAAAGAAAAGGGGTATAAGTAATTTTGGACAGGTCTAAATATGTGAGCTTTAATTTTAGGCCTCCTAAGGAAGAAATACCTCAGAATGTATTGATACTAGGTATCTGCCTTCAAAGAATAGCATAAAAACATATTTAATTAAAATAAGGGACAGGGCGCCTGGGTGGCTCAGTCGGTTAAGCGACTGCCTTCGGCTCAGGTCATGATCCTGGAGTCCCAGGATCGAGTCCCGCATCGGGCTCCCTGCTCGGCGGGGAGTCTGCTTCTCCCTCTGACCCTCCTCCCTCTCATGCTCTCTGTCTCTCATTCTCTCTGTCTCAAATAAATAAATAAAATCTTTAAAAAAATAAATAAATAAATAAATAAAATAAGGGACATATTTAGTACTGTTCACTCTTAGAACATGAATTTCTTAAGGACTCTGGTGATTCCCTTGAGAAAACAATGTACGTTGAATATACTGTGCAAAAATCTAATTACTATTTTTGTTTACTAATAACACTTTAATGAAGTTAGTTGCAAAAGTAATTGGGATGTTTAGGCACCTGGTTGGCTCAGTCTGTAATTGGGGTGTTTTTTTTTAGTAAGTGGTGTCAAGAACTTTAACAAAATAAAGGTACTATGGTTAAAAAAAAAGCCGGAAAAAACTTTCAGCATATTTTTTTTTTCCAGTGGATGGATCAGGCAGAACGGCAAAAATCCTAGTATTTGCTAGAATAGTTTATTTAAAGCTATTTGTAGGAGATTAGGGATGCTTCTAGTTCTAATGTTTTCTTTTTCTTATTTAATGTTATAATTAAAATTCATTGATGAGTTTGGCTCTGATTTTTTTTTTTTTTTTTTTTTACTCAGGCCGCCGCCATTTTCATGCGTCCCAGTGCCCTCGACCCACAAGTCCTGTTTCTACAGACAGCAACATGAGTGCTGCTCAAATACAGAAGGCCAGACCAGCCAAGAAGCAAAAACACCAGCCAGGACATCTGCGCAGAGAAGCCTACACAGATGGTAAGTCCATTGAAATGCATGAAAACATCTATGAATCTCGCCTATTCACCCTGGCTCTCTAGGTCTAGACAATGCGTCCACTGGCATTAGAAATTACATTAAAGAGTCATTAACAGTAAGCCTCCTATTACTTAATAGCAGTGATCAACTTTCATATCTTGTCAAGCATCTTCAGTACTTCTAATAAGAGTTATTTAAGAAGCTAAGAACAGTGTATATTTTTATTATGTTTAAAAGGTTATTTTGTTGTTGCAAACAAATAGACATCACTGTAGTTGAAGTAACGACAGAGCCTGAACCTTCATCGCATTCCCTGATAAATCTTCCCAAACGTCCTCTTTTTTTGTTTCCTTTTGGAATTTTGCATTCAAGTACAATTCAATAAACTTGTCTGAATATTAATTCTAACTATGGTGGTGTTACAGTTTTTTTTGTGCACCAAAAGGCAAATCGAATCATCTTCCTTCATGCCTTCACATACAATATTGACTGTCACTGAAGAGGTAATGCTTGTATTCTCAAGGGAGCCCAGGAGAATAATGCAAACATGGTGATGTTGTTGAGAGAAAGCCTTTAATGAAAGTGCCTCAGGTGGCCCAGCATTTATTAAACCCGCCACCTTCTCGTTTTATAAACAACCCCAAGGGCTTTGTTGGAAATTCACGTAAGATAAATTCTCTCAGACTCACCCATCTTGTCAAGTTTGCTAAATTCGCTAACGGGGTGGGGGAAGAAGGGTGTCACAGACACTGTCCCCCACCTCCTGGTCCTCTCCAACCACAATCTGATTAGGACTTTCATTACCAGTCAGCAATTTTTCAAAAAGGGCATCATTTGCCATTATCATATGAAAGCCTAATATTATAGATCCTTATCCAAGGTTACAAGGAGGGTTTTCTGAGGCACTTCTCCCTGTGATTCCTGCCACTTGACAGAAAAATTTAATACAAAGCTCACAGCATGATGAGCACAAGTAATTTTGCGATGAGTGGCTGTCCATGCTATTATCTGTACTTTACTCAAAGTATTTTCTCTCACTCGCATCTATCTGATATTAGACTACATTAAATACTGGCATATGACACAGCACACCTGGGCCTCCTGGCTTCTGCCCAGGACTCTTTTGTCAGTGAAACTGAGCTGTCAGAATATTATCTGATTTTGAAGGGTTATTACAGTGGCTTTGTGCATGTTTGCTTCTGTAAAGGGACAAACACTAGGTGTAAATCCCCAAACTCTATCGGCAGTTTTACATTTATGGAACCCCCGTAATGGCATTTTACAGGTTTTATAGCTGTCCTCTCAGTTTTTATTATCTGGAAGAGAGTGCTCCTCACTGAAAAACGGGTCAAACAGCAAACCTGGATGTAAACACATCTAGGCTGAATACAAAAGGGAGAAAACCTGGCCTAAAGCTTTGTGTAGTCGTTTCCAGCTCTTATTTATACTTGTTTTGAGGGACTTCTAGCATTGAGGGATGCTTTTTCAAAATGCTTTGAATAAATACATGCCCAGTTAAAGGATGCGGTATCACAGTTATAAATTGCACTATGCTTGAAAATTGTGATCTCTGTTTATTGTACCACATTCTGCAGTACTTTCTTCAAGGTATTTAATAATTAAATGTAAACTCTAGGGCGCCTGGGTGGCTCAGT